CCCAAAGCACAGTTTCTTTAGCAACCCAAGAACAAGACTTCACACAAATGCTCGGAAACACACGCTATAGCACTCCTTGTATTTTCAGTGTCTGTATGGAATGGATAGCGATCTCTGGCCAATTCCAGTTTGTAAGTATGATTAACGGACTTCCGCTCAGATCTGGTTGGCTGACTGTCGGACATGTATCGACTTTACGCATGGTCAAAAAAACCGGCAAGAGATGGTTATCCTTTGGTCTCGGGGGACAAGAATGTGGATGCCCATTTTTGTGCTTAGCTCCGCTTCGATAACCTGGACCTAGAACAAACATTAGTACTAATTTCTCGTCAAAAAGTCAACACGGTCAACTCGAACCCTTCAGCAGGAGCAAATCAAGGGAAAGATCAGGACATACACCAGTTTGTGCCCAGTGCTAACTGTTCGCCTTAGCAGATGTTAGAGAGGTGTCCGCTTTGAGGAGATAGCATAACCCAATACTGGGAATTTGTAACTGATTTATTTTGTTTCTTGAGCAGCTAAGAAACTCGGAAAATTTTCTACTAACATTTTTCATAGTGCTCGGACGGTTGAGAGAATAGGATTCTTTTGGAGATTTTCGTATCAGCTCCTTACTTTCTATACCCTGGGTGCCAGAGACGTTTGTTTTTTCCAAGACCACGAGAACGCCGCAATAGCGAAGAATCGCCGCCAAAGCGGCGTTCTCTTGGACCTTGGAAATGATTTTCCTGGCACTCAGGGTATGATTTCTAGTGGCTCTTGAGAAATAGATTACTGATAGGTGAGGAAAATATCAAAAAAATTCATTAAATTTTCCGACAACGTGGCCTGAGAAATCAATTTTTATCATCCACACTGTCAACTGACCATGCTTTTCGCTAAAAGCTCAGAATTCATCTACGTTTTGTTGTTAGTTGTATTCGTTTTGTTGCATCAGTGTTACACGTGAGTTCTCAAATGAAGTAATTTCCCAAGCTCGATTACTAGCCGCTGTTCGGAAAAGGAGCCCGCGCTCCTACCCTGAGGAACGCGACCGGACCCGAGAGAGCGACGGAAATCTAGCCTTTGAAAGATTCAGGAGTGATGCTTGTGAGAAGTAGGGTATTAATGCTAAAGGAGATTGTGTGACGCCTGATGTAGGCAAGCTTGGCGTGTGAAATGAAGTACACTTAATGCGTGACGCGCGAATGTGCTGGTACTTCCCCTCCCCTCTCTTATTGAAATATTGGGTTAGCGGTATAACAAAATATGATAAAAATTGCATTGTTTATAATTGAATCAATAATTTATTGTTTTTGGTGTTCTTTAAATAGCCGTTTACATGACTAGTAAATTCGTATCTCTGGAAAGGAGACTAAAACGTTTAATAAAATCAATAAGAGAAATGTGGTTTGTTTTATCACAACACCCACCCATAAAAAAAAAACCAAGAACAACACCCACCCATCCCCTGTCATCACCTCTTCTTGCCGCCTCTTCCTTCACAATGTAAACGGCAACGGCAAAGTGAACATCGTTTAACAACGATTCAATGAGCAGTACAATGGCTCTGCACGTACGTTGTAAATCTCGGTACATTTCAATGGTGTTCCCTTATATACACTGATACATACTTTATTTATTTAAATACTCAAATTTTCAGTGACACATAATAAAAATATAGGCTTAACTATAACTACGCTGTTTCTCAAGATGGCCATGTGGGAGCCTGATTGACAGTCGTTGTAAAGTCGGTCAATTTCCCTTTTAGAGCGTCAAAGAGAATCAAATTTCGGGAAATAAACCGTAGGCTATTCCTTAATAGCGCCCTGCTCTTCAAAAAGCAGCACATAATTACCAAAAACTGATTCAAAATGTATATTTCCATTTAACGCTGTCCTACAGATCCAGTTTTGAGACAGCCCTGACAGTGATAAGCTGGATGAATCTAGATTAGCGCGAGATTTTCAGGTTAAATATAAATTCGATTCGTTATCGACGTACTCCTCAGCCTTGCGGTCGTGGTTGTTTCCTATAGATGGAGGTACGTTTTCAGAATCCTGCAGTGGAAGGTTGAAGTGGATTATCAAAAAAAAAAAAAAAAAGATTGGATAAATAGATGTGGCTTGTTGTATCACGAGGTAGTGTGTGCCTAGACAGACTTCACCTTTGTAACCCTGATGAGTGACTTAGCTGATTCGCCATTCGGCGCTAAATCTGTTCATCATTAACAGCGTGTAAAAGAGTACTGATTCAGCTATTTATCTTAACTACAAAAGAGAATTTTAAAGAAATAGTTGCAAAATAGCGAAAAATACTTGCACAGTACACCGTTTGGTTGATATTTGTTACCTATATTTGTGGTGTTTGTTTTCCCAATGGCATCCAGAAACACCGACAACTTTATGTCAGTCTAGATTATTGCCAGGCTTTCAACACGTACTCACACGTCAAACCCAAAACCAATAAGATTTCAAATCCAAAATGAATTTGAGCTTTTGACGGATGCATAAATAGCATAAAGGTTGGAAAGGTACATCCCATACGCGTGATCTTGTTGCCGAACCTTGAGTATCGAGCAAATCCGCTAGAACTTCAGACTGTTGACATCACAAAATGGCCGTTCAGAAGCAAAGCACGCCATCCTTTGCTTTGATAACTTCCGTTCTGTCTATTGTGTTTTACTGTGTTGGGTTTATAAGATTGGAACTGGAGCTACACGAGCAGAAAAACAGAATAAACGTTCTTGAAAGAGTTGTGGAGCCGACCACGCCGCCGTCAGACCACCCAGACATGAAATTAATCAAGAAC